AAATAAATAAAATAAAAATCACTGAAAGAACAAGGTCATGCCAGACTGTTAAGACAGGAAATGTATTAATTAAATCTGTAGCCAGCAACATTCTTTGCACACATTACAAGTGATAAAGATAAGAAGTGTTACAGAGTTATTTCCAAGGATTAACTGTTTTAGTAAGAAGGCATGGATCTCTTAAACTACACATAAGAATCTCTCGCGTAATACAGATGTTTTGATCTAGTCACGTAGACTAAGACAGCCTTTTGAACTTTGTTGCTTCCTCTGTATTAAAGGTCGTGGTTGGTTTGACCTCTCTAAGATTTGATGCCTGTGCTGCAAGCAGAAGAGCAGAAGTGCAGAAAGGACGGCAATGCACTCTGCTGCAAGAAAATAATAATAATAAAAAAAGAAAAAGGTCTCACCTCTCTCCTTTGAGGCGGTCTTCGTCTTTGAGTAGGACCACTAGCTGCTTGCTCTTCTCCCTGACGTTGATGCCCTGGTCCTTGCCATCTCTGTCGATGTACTGGAAGTCCTTCAGAGTCTGGATGGCAAAGATGTTTTCTTTGCACTGCAGCGCTACTCTCTCTGAGCCCGTCTTGATCAGGTAGTCAAGCAAGGTGAGCGCCTTGTAGACGTGGCGCCAGTTCTTGCCGTGGTCGTTGAGTCGTTTCCAGATCATGTTCATGATCTCGCTGAAGGCCACCACGTTGTAAGTGAGGTCGGCGATGTCCGACATGAGTGAAGACGACGGCCCCCAGGGGTCGTTGGACGTGGCCTCTCTGACTTTCTTCTCCGCTTCGGAGTAGTTGTTAACCATGTTCTTCATCTGCCGGCGGATGGTGCTTGGCATGGTGGCGGTTAAGATGGGACAGACAAGAAATCAAACGTACACTCTCACACAAGGAGAGCAGCTGGGACACCAACAATATTTGGGTTACACACACCCAGAAGTTACAAACGTGCCCTTCAGGTGAAGCTTGTGTTGTTTGCCCGCGTTTCTGTGTCCTTTGTCACGGCGGTGTTTTGTTAATGTTTTCGTGTAACAAAGTGGTTTGTGGATGTACGCGGTTGTTTATGAGGCTCCTCCAGGCCAGTGCAGTGTTCCCGAGTCCTCCAACACAGCGTCTGTTAAAACCATTTCCACACCCACAGTGCCGGCTGAACACATGACCATGCCATCACCTAGACCAAGACGACAAATAACAGGTTAGTTTACAGAACAATATGAAAAACAAATATAGGCAAGGGCCAGAAACAAAAAAACAAAAAAAAACAAGCACACTCTACAATACTTGCAATCACTCAGAGTATCTTAAACACAACATCAGCTTAATATGCATCTTCTTTAATAAGTTTCACACCCCTAAAGTAATATCACATGCCAGCAATAACAACTCAAAACCTCAATAGCCCAAGAAAAACCTACGCGTTGCTATATTTCAGATTTCTGAACAGCTGAAGTCACACGCTAATCTGAATGTCTTTCATGAAGTTCCACAGCTAAACTGTAAGCTCACATCGATGTGTAATCACAAGAGCAGCTGTAAGCGCTTTTTGAAACTAGACAAACATGTTTCATACTTTCACACTTAGATAAGCAATTTCCATGCATGCCCCCTCTATATCATACAAAGTCACGGTGCTGTGAACAAGAATTGTTTCCACTTTTATAATTTCACTTAAGTTTACAGTAACTTTGACACGATGGCAAATTACTAGGACGGATGGTGAAGATTTTTGTTAAACTAAACAAATCTGTGTGGTCACACCATTCCCCAGCACTTCCAAGACTGCTTCAGGTGCATATTCTTTGTGTGAACTTGGAGGACAATGTGAAGACAATTACAATGAAACAACATGCCATATAAAGAGGTCTGCAATAATCTAACATTTTAATCTTGAGCACCAGGTTATGGAGTACAAATAAGTCCTTAAAATATTGTTCAGGGATTAAAAAAAAAAAAACCTGATAAGGTGTAAATATAACACAAAGAGCAACGTGTATGTATAATATTGCTCTAAGATCATAGAAGTTATCAAGGTAATTCACCAGCAGTAACTTGACCACAAACTTTGCAAAGATTTAAATTAACAGTATTGGCAATCACTGAAATGGTTAATCCATCAGTGTGCACAAGCTCTTTAATAAAAATTTTATTTTTAATGCTAAAATATAAAATTATTGTTTTTGATTTTACTGTTTTTCAAAAGCAGAAAAAAAATATTGAAGCATATTATTATTTTTTGATTAGGATGCCAAATTACAGCTGAGCAGAAAAAGCAGTAATTTCTGAGTTCTCAGAAAAGTCCAGGGTGTCGGCTTAAATTCTGGGTATAAAAACGTAATTTCAGTAACATTTCGTTTGTGACATTTTTTAAAACATATTTTTTAAACAACAGGTGGTCTAATAAGCACTGTATATATAAAATAAGAGCTTTGCTTTTTTAAATTCCCCAATATATTCAACCACAATTCTCTAACAAGTCTGAGAATGAGACGCCTTTATCTTCACAGCATTAACAGTAAGAATGAGTTTCCACCCTCTGGTGGGTGGCAGGGGAGATAATCCATTTCCAGTCAGATGAATACCACAGAAGTGACTGATGACGCCTCAGTACTTGTTTCTAAAAGATCAGCAAAGCAGCCACTAATCACTTCCTGCCTGACACAGAGATGTGAAGTATGGATAGTGGGCGGAGACTCACAGCGGCGTAACGTACACACCCAAGTGCCATGTGAAAAACTCTTGACCGTGAAAACTCGCTTAAGTATGCAACACCTAAGGCTTACATAACACGTTTAAATCTGCTGCTGGTGCTGGAAAAGAACAGCAAGCCCCCATTAACAGAGTTGTGCTTGGACTGCAAATGCAGTTATTACTGTTATTAGTAATAAACTGCAGTTTGGGATGTCGGTGCCCATTGTTTTGCCTGCCTCGATGCCTTCCAGGCAAACCTATGATGACTTATCCTTTTCATTGATCAGAGCTCAATGCCAGGCGTGCACAGACAAGCCCAACAAAGTTCTTTCATACACATAAGTACAAGTCTGTGTGGACTTTATTAAGCACAAGAACGCGTTTTTTTCAATGTATGTAGAAGTTAAATACAGACAACTTGTGCATGCATTTGTTTCAGGGAGCTTCCTGTCTAGCAATGTCATGGAAAGACAGCTGGAGGGGACGGGGGTGAAGAAACAAGGATAAGAAAACAACTTGGCACATCCCATAAATTCACTTAACGCCAGTGAAACGTGATTCCTGTAGAGCATGACTCCGACACACACACACACACGCGCACACACACACACACACACACACTCTCTCTCGCTCTCTCTCTCTCTCTCTGAACGTTCCCTCGTCACCCTCCTCCTCACCCTGCATCCGCATGAATACTGCTCAGACCTAATGACACATCTGCTGCTATAATCACCTATTCACCCGTAGCAGACAGGAGGAAGAGAGGAGAGTCTGTCTTGTCCATCCCACCCTCCTGCAACCCCCATTCACATCCCGGAACAAACCCCCCACCCCACCCCTGACACACAAGAGCCAGTAGATATCCCCAGCCTGCCTTCACTCAGTCCTTCTGTGCTTAGTTCACGCCAATCCCAAAAGAAGACTGCACACAAGACTTGTGTTTGTGTGAGTGTCTAAAGAAATATGTGTTCATGCTGACAGTGCAGGTTATAAGTATGTCAAAAATCAGTAAGCATGTCATCATCCCGTCAAACCGCCAGCACACAATGCGGGGTAGCAGTTTAAGCGTGAAATAATTGAGTCCAGGGTATGCTTTTTAACGGCACCAGATGAACTCGAACACATCTGTCGCCACCCATTCAGTCTCTTCCTTCTTTTCTTTCTGGCCTGTCTGTATCTGACTCACACACATTAAAGATGAGCTGTTAGTCCACCCTCTTCTCTATTTCAACACAAAGCCATTTATAATATATTTAAATATGTGGTGTTTTAATATCGCCTGGTTTTTCATGCAACAATTGTCTAATCCTTGGCGATTTTCGCTTTTGGAAGACAAAGTAATAAATGAAGTAAATAAGTAAAAATACCCAGCGATCATTCCTTAGAATGCGACAGAAGGCAAAGGCGAAAGAGTGCTTGTGCCCTGCAGCCAAACAACAGACCAAATATGCATTTATTATGGCCATAGAGTTGGACTAATTTTGAAGGAGAAAGAGGAACAGAAATAACCCATTAAATACAGGCTGAGAAAAACACTAACCGCACTACCATCATAGTCAAATGGGACAAAGTGCCATTTACTGTTACATGCAAAGGTCAAAAGCAGAAAAAACAAAAAACAAATGAGGCCTTACTGTGGAAAACACTTTTTTACAAATCCAAATAAGATACCAGTGAACTGATGGACTAATATACACAGAACAGTTGTGATAAATTTCCCCCCAAAAATAAATAAATAAATATGTGTATCGCCTGACAGGAATAACGATTGGTCTCAACAGCATGAACTAGCAGCAGTGATGTAGTAGCGCATTATGAGATATTCCCTTTTTGAATTGCAAATCATGTCACAGATACCTACAACTTTCTATGAATTCCATCAACAGTATTTAATAATAATACTGTAATGCCGCTTACTTATAAAACCTTCCGGCTTTGACCAACTGTAAACAAATCACCTGCACGCAATGAGTGTTCATCTTAAATAAAATGAAATTATTTGTCATGTATTTAACAATCTGTATCGCCAAACTACGAATATCTAAAGATACAGACGGGGAAAGAAACGTGTGACTGAGACATTAATGTCTGTGCACCAGAGGTCCATCATTACAAAAGCTTTAATCTTGGCTTGGCAGGAAGTGCTCAGAAGTTGTTGCTGTGCCGGCAGTGCAGGAATGTGCAATATGTCGTTTCAGTATCAACACCATCAGCATGAAGTAAGACACATTAGGCTGAACACAACTACAACTTTCTTTCTCTTTGAGACCAAAGAAGAAGAAAAAAAAGACCACACCTTTCTGACTTTTCTGTGAATAAACTGAAAGTTTGAGATTTACCCACAACTAACGAGTCCTGTATATATTAGTTTGTCACTTGTTAGTGCACACAGCACACACAAAGGACCAAAGAGTTACATCAATTCATTCATTTAGAACAGGCAGTCAGGGAAACTCCATAAGACAGGAGTTCTTTTACACTCCAGTTTGTGGTGCAGGTCTCCCAAAACCAGGTGACACTAGTAGCAGAAACATCCTAGCATGCCTTGCTCTATGAATGGGTCCATCTTCTCCCCGGTGCACCAGTGTGCCCGCTCTCAACGGAAAGATTGCAACCCAGAGTGGGTGAGTCTCTTAAGCTCCTTCCTCCCCCATTTAGGCAGACGATGAGTAATGGCCAAACACTACCCTTCAATTCCCACTGGGGTACCCATATCACAGCCACTCATGCCACATGTCACAGCAACTTAAGGCAATTCCACTAGATGCACCACAGCACATTTCAGGAGCAGTTCTTTGGTCCACTAATGTAGCGAGACGATGGAAGTTAAACAATGGGTGGTGGACGAGGCAGGCAGGAAGTCAGTCATGGGTACGGCAAAGAGAGCAATTGGGCAATTTTTAAAATCATCCTACACTGTGTGCACACAAATTACTCCCGGTGCAGGATGAAGCAGAGGAGAACAGAACAAAATCATGGAGGAGATACAACATTATAGACCCAAGCCCAATCTGTTCCTGAGGTTAGAGTTCAGCTATAGCTTTCAACAAGCTTCTGTGCACTGCTATTATCGCTAGAGAGAAATCTACCCCGGACAAGGAAATAACCAAATAAGGGAACAATAATGATGTCCCCTTCATTACGGTTAGTTCACATCAAACGCAATGAGAAGTTCTGCCTCATGTTGCTTGCATGAGGAAACCCATAAATGTTAACTCCTGACCGGCAATAGGATATAGATGTGTATAGCTGACAGTTGGAATCAAGTTACAGAAATATAATTTCCTAACTTACCATTAAGTCCTACATTTTCACTCACTTTTCTCCACGCGTTCTACCCCCCATTTCTCTACATAAAGGTGACATAGAAGCAAAGAGGCCCTGTAGCCCTCAAACAGCATCAATACACCCATCCTTCATTTCTGATTCTCACTTTCACCTGAAGAAAAATCCACAACCTACAGGGCAATCCCGCTTGATGCAAACTTAACTTTTCAGCTTCATTCACATCACCCAGGGGCTTCACATCACCAGATTTCACAGAATCTGAATGTCATTGTGCATCAAGAGAGAACCCACTAAGGCATCTTCTCAAACCACATGTATAGGATTTAACTGTAAGAGGGTAAAAAATTAACCCTTGTTTTACAAAATCACCCCAATCATTAGATCAAAGAATGATTCATGTTTTTCAGCCAAACATGTTCATATTGCCTGGCGAAGATGAATGGGTTTTTCATGTCCTAGAAAATATCTGAATGAATATATCCCAAAGAAACACGTAGAACACTTGACTTAAGTGAGTCACCTTAGATCATAACAAGTCCAACTTATCTTGTGTGTGTTTTGGCAAAAGCTAGGTAAACTGTGATTAGCATTAAGGGCTCAGAATCAGCGCATTGAGAACAGGTCCACCTTGTCACACAGAATGAGTAAAGCTGATCTCGAGATAGTAGGCTTGCACAACCGGGCGCCTGTGTGTGAATGTGACAAGACTATGTTTGTCTGTTCAGAATGACATTGTGTATAATAGGCTGTGTAATGGCATCCAGCCAGTTCCTTAACCATCCCTTTATATATGGTACAACCAAGAGCAACATTCATAAGTAATTCATCTTCATCTTCTCCTAGACACAAGGATTAAGCTCCCAAAAGCCAAACTCGCGTCAAATAAGCACTAACACTTGTTCAAACAGTACTAAAGTGGGTTTAAGTGAGCTATTACAACCGTGCACTCTGAGACAGTGAGACAGGAGGAGAGGCCACCATCTGATCGACGCATCACCCCACCTTTTGTCCTATGTTGCTAGCCGAGAGAAACAAAGCCAGCCAAGACAGGGACGGGAGGAGGACCGTCATGATGCATCTGTCACCCCCGTAACTGACTGACCACCCTGACAATAAAGGAAGCGCTGCCCCTCTTCTCAGGCCACATCAATACGGGTTCAGTGCGACTATGAAAAGAGAGGTTTTACTCAAACATCTTTGACTATGTTGAAAATAGAGAAGAAAACCTTGCCAGTATTAATGATCTAAAAACCAAACACTTTAGTCGCTGCTTGTCGGAAACCAGGCGAGTAAACGGACAGCGCCCACGTCGTAACGAGTCTCCCTAAAATATCAATAAGTACGTTAAGTTTTGGACTGCTGAGTCACTGTAGTATGCTCTCGTCTAGCCCTCGCCTCTATAACAGCATATGTGTTTCGGTAGAGAAAATAAAAATAATTTAAGTGGCTCTTTTTTTCTTTTTCTTTTTTTAAAATCACGGCGCCTCCTTGAACTGACGTGATTGATAGTTAGCACATAAGCTAAAGTAGCTTTAGCTAACATTCGTTTGGTGCTAGTAAACTACCTTAATGTTATTTATAATCCGTTCAGTCAAAAAATCCAGGTGATAGAGGTGAAATAAGTATGTGTATAAAATAGTGCGAGCTTACTCTAACATAGAATAGCAACCACACTTGCTACTAAGGGGTTTGCCGCTAACTACAGCTAGTTGAGTGCAAACTTGCGGCAAGTTCTAGTGCTTAGCATTGATTGAGTTAGCGGTGACTACACATTTCAGCTCACTGGAAAAGTACATAACCCGGAAAAGTTTGCTGTAGCTTAAAAATACACTGCAGCAATCACTTTTTCCACTTACAGATATTTGCACCCGAGATACCAACCACCGCCTAGCGTCAATTTACAAGACGATTTCAAATCCTGGCTTTCAGAAAAGTTGAATCAAAGCTAGCAGAGCTTGTGTTAGAACAGCCAGTTCACACACCATCCCCTCCAGCACCCTACTAACAACACAACTGTTGATCACTCACCATCTAGATGTAACACAATTTACTATTCACCGGTTTTATGACCACTTCTATACTGTAACGCACAATCGTTCGCGTTAGCTTCATAAAGTACTTTCTATGTTAGGACAATCAACTAGCATGTAAAGCTAGTTAGCGATCCTTCAAGCTAGCATCCAAGACGGGAGCTCAGTGGAGACATCACCATAGCAAACTGGATTACAGGACACCCCAGAAAAACAAAACAACGCGACTGTGTTGAAAACCGAAGGTAACTTACCAGAATTTTTGAGAGGGATACTTTAGGTACTCGTGTCACTCCAAGTGGAAGTCAAACCAATAAAAAACGTAGCTAATTCCAAAAAGAGAAGGGGGAAACCGAGACAGGAGTACTTATTTGGGCGTTCAAGGAGCTTGTTGCGCCTCCGCCTAGCTATATGCTGCTAGTGCTAAGCCAGCTAAAGCCAGGACTACACGTATCTCCTCCTCCTACAGAACATGGCGGGCAGAGCAGGAGGTGGGGTGTAGGGGTTGGGGGTTGGCCGGGAAGGGTGTGACCAAGTGGGCTTGACTTGGCAGGGATAGAGACAGACCCTTCATCCCTCGTGAAAACCCTCGAGGGGGGAAAGGCGCGTCCCTGAGCAAGTGACTGTAAAGTGATAATTTGAATTTCCAAGTTTTCACATGAACGATTTACAACATCGTGGACATGCGTGACTATAAGAATGGTTATATTAAAGTGCTGGACTACTTTTTTTTCTTTCTTTTTTTTTGTGGAATAGCTTTTTTGTTTTAGTAACCGAACAGTCCTCTCTGGTAAATCTAGTTTTGAGGAGCCATTTTCCAATTTCGTCAACGAAAGTTAGCAGCCAAAAGGAAATAAACGGAGTATGCACAAGTACGTGCATGTCATGATTTGTCACTGCCAGGGATTGTCCGCTGCAGGTGTGTCATTACAAAGCGCAAACTTTGTAGGACCGCATTCCATCGCTCTAATTTTTTCCACCCCACAGTCTCTGCGCAACCGCTTTTTCTTTCACAGGTATTTAAATAGAGGGAGGGGGACAACACGTCACACGTCCCAGACACGTGGCACAACACGCTTTATCTTTTTTTCAAACCGAGATCTATGAATAGACGCAGATGCCTTAGTAAAAAGTGCGCAGTGAGCTATTAATAGAAGTGTAGGTTGTAGACGCAAAGTGTGTAAGTTAAAAATAGAAAGGGATCAAAATGTCACGAATCTGCAACGCTGACAACAGCCAAACGTCAGTATGACCGATGTGATGTCCTTTGGCTGTTTTTACTGCTGTGCCATACTGCAAATTTTGTTATGATCGATACCAAATAAATACAGGGCCAGCATTCCCGATACCAATATCGGTATTTTTAACTTATAAGGACAGCTTATGTAGGGGAGAGCGGTGTGTCATGACATTTAAATTATCATCAATTTGCAAATTCTGAACACATTTTAATGACCACCAAATTACTGTGATGTTTTTCTTTTACTTTCTCAAAAAAAGCACATCTTTTAGCTTTTTGTAACTGGGTTTTTTGGGGACCTAGAATGTAAATGCACCTGTCTTTGAAGCAGTTTGTGAAAACTTCGGTTATTAAATGTGCTTTAGGCAATAAATAAAATAGACGTGACAGTCAACACAAAAAGTTTAAGACATTTTTTCATAGTACGTCTGAGATTATTTTTCAGTTCTTAAATATAAGACACAATTCAGTCAGATAGATAGTGAACTTTGTGGACAGAAATAAAGTATTGATCCTATCACGCTAGTATCGATCCAATACAGATGCCAGCATTGGTATCGATACTATCGACCCAGCTCTGCGTTCTAGTAAAGTGCTAAATCTGGCTGGGAGTGCCACCTTTAAAGTTCACTGATGCTTTTGTGTCCTCCTGCTGCATATTCAGTGGAAAGGATAAGCCAATTAAATGAAGCCCAAGCCAAGCTGATTGAGATGTTTTTGGCACTCGCTGCTCTCTGCTTGAGAGAGTGATAAAAAACCAAAAAAAAAAACCAAATAGACTCTTTGTGCAAACAGGTTTTTGAAATTGTGTAATTGGCCTGCTCTAAAGCTATTGCCTGAACAGAACAGACCAAATCAGAGTGCGAGAAAAACAAATTGTACTGCACACTACTTATTAACTCAAGACCTTTAACACGAAGACCTATGTTGGTGTTTTTAGAGGAGTATTTCAAGTTGATGATTCATCTTACTAGACTGCCAACATCCACTATATAAAGCAAAGCCCCTCCTGATGGGAGCCTGTTAACAAGAGGATTGTGTACCAAAGAAGGTTTGGTACATGGCAAGAGGATATCTTGTCAAAGATATATATTTGTGTTACTCAAATATACATGATTTAATCCTCACCAGGTCTTAAAATTCATAAAGTACAACCTCATGACATATTATACCGTGTCATAAACTAAACTAAGCCAAAATGCAGAAGCTACCATGATTCAGTAGCTTGTAGAACCACCTTTAGCAGCAATAACATGAAGAGATGGTTTCTCTTGTGACTTTATCAGTCATCCACATTGTTGTGGAGGACTTTTGGTCCACTCTTCTTTACAGTGTTCCTACAGTTCATTGAAGATTGTTGGTTTTTGTGTATACACAGCTCTCTTAATGTCCCACTGTAACATTTTGATCAGTTTTAGGCTTTCGGTTTACTGCTGTCCTTGGGTATACTTTGGTATACCAAAGAGTTCATGGTCAAGTTAATGACTGCAAGGTCCTGCAACTGCAAAATGAGCCCAAACCATGACCACTGACAGATGATACGAGGCATTTGTGTAGTTGTGCTGTCCTTGAGGGGAGCTTGGAGGCATGGTGGTTAGCACTGTCGCCTCACTAGGAGGTCCTGGCTTCAATTCTAGTCTGAAACCTTCTTGTGCCGACTTTAATGTTCTCTCCAAATAGTTCATCTTCACACAGGGAGTAAGGTTAATTGCTGATTCTAAACAAACCATAGATCAGAAAGTGAGTGTGAAAGATTGTCTGTCTCGATTTGTTAGCCCTGCCACAGAATGGCGACCTCAGCCACTGTAGAATGGACTTTTAAATTGTTTGGAAATGGCCTTAACTCTTCTCAGATTGGCGGGCAGTAACAAGCTCATAGTTGATGCCTTTTCTTCTCAGGACTGATGGCCACACACAGACCTGAGCACACCAGACCAGCAAACTGCCAAAACTTCTGCTTGTTATAGGCGTGCTCACACTTGGTGAGGATCAGTTAATGGAGTGCATTTGATTAGCAGCATCTGGCTGCTACTCACTGAATTCCTATGGAAGTAATAAGGGTTCACTTTTTTGCACACTGCTTCTGCATTTTGGCTCAGTTTTGGTTAAATAAATAATGACACGGTGTAATATGTCATCTGTTGTTGTTTATCCTGAGGTTGTTTTTACTGAAGTTTAAGACCATATTATTTTAAAACCTCATAATTGAAAGAGGATGTACTTTCTTTTATTTTAACCATGGCTGTATTTCTCCATCCAACACAAAAATGCAAAACCTTTGTGCAAAATAGATGTAATTGTGGCAACTGTGGCAAATCCTTTGTTCTTCTGCAACAGGTATCAAAGAGAAGCTTGAAGGTGACATTCATGGTTGGGTGAGAAAGCTACCTCAAGCAGTTATTTTGCAAACAAACAACAAGAAAATGTCACCTTGGCATTTACTATCTCCTCTTATCAGACAAACTTTGAAAGTTAAACTAAATTCTGATTGGTCAGTCTGTGCAAACAAAAAAGTGAAGTGTGCTATGTGTTGAGTATGTGCCCTTTTAAAGTACATGCAGGTCCAGTGTCAGCCAGTAGAGGTCAGGAGCGTCCCACTTTTAAAACAGTCAGAGAGTGTGTCTGTAATGTGAGCACAAACTAAACTTAGGAGGGCTGTCTAGAACCCCCTGCAGACATGTGTGACCTTTAATATGTAATCACCATATGTGACCCCCTACAAAATCACCCTCCACAAAATAATCACCCTCATTCTCAACACTCATGCCCTATTAAAGACTCACTGGGCCATTAGCTTGTCTTGCACCATCCATGGTCAGATGCACTGACCCAGCATAGTTTTACTCATGCAGAATGAGTATTGCAGTCACTAACACATGATTCGTTGAGTCTAGATGCCACCATGCGTGACACATGAACAACAGTCAGGGGAAGCTCATGATGATCATTACTTGTTAGCAGCTTACCATATCTTACACTATTATTATATAACCGAGTGGCGTTTATCACACACCAGAAATTCAGCCACCAAATGCGGTAAATCTCAGTTACAAAGGCAAGCGGTGCATGTGAGTCATATTAATTTGAATTTTATTCAGCAGGATGTGCAAACACATTAGGTTCACCTAAGGAAGCTCAAGCATGAATATAACTGGTGCATCACTTTGAGAAGCCTGCAAAACTTATGTAACGTGGAGGAAAAGGAGGAAAGACTGGCAGGAGTCAGTTTTTGGCCTGAAGTAGCGCACTTGGTTCCAGATGGAGCCTAAATCAGCAGAAAGGGGGCGGGGGGGGG